TTTTTTTTTATGTAGTCATTTTCGTTCAAAAGCTTTAAATAGTTTTGAGTACATAGCACAGATATTCTATAATTAATAAAAAAAACATATATATCAACAATAATCTTAAGAGAAAATCTAAGAGAACGTTACTGGGGCAATTTAAACTTCCATATAAAAAATTGACAGGCTGAACTCAAATTTTCTACATTCTAAAGACATTTTCCATAAATTTACCTCGTTCTCTATCTCTATCACTACCGTTACGATTACCATATTGTTCTCGTTCTGACACGCATCATTTTGTTAAGAAAAGGGAAGGGAGGCAATGATAAAAGGTAAATTCCATAAAATTAAACTTGAAGCAAGATAGTAGATAGTAGTTTTTTATAATGCAGTTTTTGTAATTGTATTGAGAATGAGAAACTTGACGGGTAAGGAAGGGTTCGTGTGGTCTTTGATTGACAAGAATTTACTAAATTATAGAAGCTATAATATACCTGGTGGTCCCAAAGCATCGCCAGTTGGTGATACTTCTTGCGATGGTAAATTTCTAGATATCGTTGCTGCTTGTGTTCGTTCTGGTGGATGTGTTGCACGCCAATAAGCCTTATTAAATAAAAATAATTTTCTTAATTGAATAACCACAATTCCACTCAAGTGAATATCTATAGAATATCGTTGGAAATGAATTTTTACTCTAATATCTATACAAAATAATTTAGATGTCTTAACAACAATTGAATAAAGCACGCAAAAAACATTAAAATGTACGTTAATTGTTGGAATGCAAAATTGCTTTGTTGTGCCATCGATAGTATAAAAAGCTTAATCTTTACATCTTAAGGTAAAAAACTCATGTCTAGCAATAATCTATATACATTTTTCTCTGTGAAGATATGCATGAAATTTAAAGGCTTTTTCATACCTCTAAATATTCAGCTATATGATCACAAGCATCTTCTAACTGATTTTCATCTAATATCACATCAAACATTTCCGGCGGACATTGACTCAATTTTTCAGCGGCTACCATTTGTACAGATAAATTTTTCGCTTGAGCTTTACCACGCGATTTTATTAAACGTTGTAATACCTGCAAAAATTAGATAACATCTATATTTTTAATTGTCTTAGATAAAGAGAAAAAATATATTCTGATTAAAAGTGACTGATTACCTTAGTACTAGTAATCTTTAAATAGACTATCGTCGGTGCTAGTGAAGTTTTTGCTAATTGTGACGGATGGTTAATGGTATCACAATCTAGTACGACCAATTGTAATGTTCGCGCCAGCTCAAAAATGCGTTCAATTTCCGCTTGAACTTCAGCTAAACACGAAGACCGACTATTAGAACGCTCCATGATTGGTCGTCTTTGATTATTCATGAGAGATCGTTTTGCTAATGAAATATCAGCCATGACACGCGTTATGATAATTCGACCTTCAAAACGATGTTTCAAAAAATCGAATAAAGCTTTTTGCATCATGTCGGTAACCTCATAACCTTTTAGACTTGGACCCACTAAAACAACTGTACAAAATAAACAAAAATAGATGATACAATTCAATATTGTAATTCATTTCAAATAATTGGGAGTTGTATCGTTTAGAATACATAGAACAGTATGTCATTTTACTTTTCCGCACACACCTAGTGTGTAAGGTAAAGTATTGGGATCGGTCGAAAAATTGACACTCCAAAAAACATGTTTTCTGGGTGTTTTAGGAGCCAAGGAACACGAATCAATCGTTTTTTCGATGTACAAATGTATGTGCGTGGTACCCTGTACGCAAAAATTTGTTAACACGATAACTTTCAACCAAGAAAAGTAATTCAAAATCTGACTTCACAGGATGATTGGGGGTGCCTAGGAATAGAAACCATTAGATTTTGAGCGACTTTGGTTGATACAGTGAAGTGTTATGTCTGGTGTGATGCCCATGGCCATCCATGGGAAAATTTCAATTTTTCTTCCAAAAAAGAAAACTGAATTTAACGTTAGTTTTGCGATTCAAATAATTTTCGACACACTTTTCATACAAAACTTTCAAAAAATTTGGATTTTTGTATGGAAGCCATTCCTGTATGATATCGTTGAGCTGAAAGGCAAAGGCACAGGTTATTTTTTTCTCAAATCAATTGAGATTTGACAACAAAATACATTTCAAACTATATGGAGTATTATATTCCGCAAGACAATTCCGCAGATTTCAATACTGTTTAATTGATTTGGATGTTAGTCTTGATACTGTCAAAAATGGAATTGATAATTATTTTAAATAAAATAGAGAATAATTGAATTTTTGAAATAGTTATGAAACATCAAAGATTTTGAACAAATGATAATATTTTTTCAAATTTCAAAAGAATTAAAATAAATCACCAAGTGAAGGAACGCTGTGCAGTAATTATTATTATTGTTATTATATTCAATTGATTTTTGCTGTCTTTAGTGGTCACTTTTTTTCTGAAGTCTTAACGATACAATTGACAAATTTTATTATTATACCTGGTCGCATTGATGGCACCACATCGTATGCCATCGAATTTTCCTGTTTCTTGAAGAATGGCTTTCGTTTCTCTTTTGATTGAGGTGTTGCTAACGGTGTTTTACCTGTATTGATCAGAAAAATAAAAAAAACAATTGTATTGGAGTTTTTGAATAAATAAAGTATGGTATAGGAACATGATTCTACCATGTCGTGATGGACCCATTGAATCAGACTCATCTCCTAAAATCAATACAATAATCTAAGCACTCTTATTTTTTTCACGTATTATTCGCGCACTGTTCATACCAGGTGTCGGCGGTGTGCTTCCTCGGGACGCTTCTGCATTTCCACCCAAATTGCCACTAGATGAGCCTTTTGTTGCGTACAGTCTGGATGACCTCGCTGCTGATGCCTTTTATAAAAATATTCATTATTTTGCACCAATGTTTTATATTTGAACCGTTGAGAAACAAAGATACCCTCAGAAAAGTTAAGAAAAAATCTTCAACTTAAACTGGAATGTAAATCAAATGTCAACATTTAAGATTTGAGAATTAGAGAAAAACAATAAAATATTGAGAAACAAACTGCAACTTAAGTTATTTCACCAGATGATACAGAAAACTGAGTAGTATTTGTAAATCGAAGAAAAAATTTTTAATTATTTTTTTCATTTTTCGCGACTATTTCACCATTTACATGGGCGGCTTGTATGAAAAATATGGAAGACCGCTGAAATGAACAATACAAAATATTTACGGATATACGACAGTGTCAAATCGGAATGAAAAAAATCGCATTCCTTATCATCCAAATCACGATCTGGACTTCATTGTTTGAGTGCTCTATACCGAGTCTCCGAGAGTTCCATTTAAACTTGCCTTGTGACACCTATCGAATAGTGAGAAAATTGGCATTTCGGGCAACCAAGAGATGTTCGAAATTAGTGAGCAACAGTGAAACATTTTATAACAAACTGCAACATAACTAAGTTGCAGTTTGTTTCTCATTATTTTATTGTTGTTCTCTAATTCTCAACTCTTAAATGTTGACATTTGATTTAGATTCCAGTTTAAGTTGAAGATTTTTTCTCAACTTTTCTGAGGGTATCTTTGTTTCTCAACGGTTCATTTGACGACCAACAATACTTTTATAAGTAAGCTTACCTGCATTCGTATGTTTTCCAATTTAACAGGGCTAGGTATGAATCCAACATCACAGCCTTCTTTGACTAGTCTGCCGATCCACCAGTTATTGTCATACTTTTCCTACAAAAAGCGTATACACATGGCGTATATATTCCCAAATACCATACTATTTTTTCCTTCGATAAATGGTAGAGAAAGACAAATTATGAACACGTTGTGCTTTGAAATGACTTACTTTGATGTGAAGAAAGTCCCTAACATCAAATGATACAGCACTTCCGTGTACGGGAGAGTCATCATCGATATTACCGTCATATGACACATTTGTTCGAACAGCGAATGCCACAGGTTTATTCTGAAATGTGAAGTCAAAATAAACAGAGACATTAGATTTATTTATATTTGAATAAACCACCAAGGCGAAGGAACGCTGTTCGGTGTGGTTATTATTATTATTTAAGTAGCTCGCGTGGTATATATGTTGGTTTCGTATTCGGTCGTAATCGTGACGAGCGCAAACGAAAAGGAATATTCGATGAAATTTTTACCATCCGGTTGGAGGACAAAGTACGACGTGGAACAGACCCACAACAACCATGCTCAAAATGGCGTGATGCGTACAATGGCCTGACCTCAGTGTCATAAATTTTGACCCATTGCAATATTTTTCCTTTACACACTAGATCTGTGCAGAAAAGTAATTTGAATGGTGTCTTGTTCCTGACGTCTGAAAAAATTTGCGCAAAAAATTAATAAAAAATGTGCAAAATGTGCCACCCTAATCACTTTTGTATTAATGCAAACTTGTTTCATACTTTCCTTTGGCATTTTGCTTTGAAACGATAATTTATTTCTTTTGATTGGTGTCCGCCAAATTGCGCACAGAATAACACGCAAATGTAACATGTCATGTGTACATGTATGCAAAATTATTATATACATTAACATACAGTAGATTGCCAAATGTCGACACACGACCAAATGTCGGAATACCGAGAGGTGAATTGAAATTAAAAATTGAAAATTCATTTGAATTGCATTTTTAAAAGTAAATTATGAAAGATCAATATCAAATCTCTTTATTATAATCCAAATTTTAATCAAAAATCTATTATTGCTTTCACAAAATACGTTCAAAAAAAATTCGGCATTTTTATCACTTTTTCACGTCAAAAGTTAAACTATGTCATTTTGAGACAAGCCGGTAAAATGCGTTTTTTTATATGAAAAAATAACTAGTTTGGAAAAAAAATTATATCGGCGAATTGTAGATAGTTTAATTTAATTATTGAACAGAAATTTTGAAAATATAAAGAAAAACAATTATATTTATTTTTCATTTTTCACTGTAATATTATTCCGGAATAAATCGTCCAATTGCCGACACATAAAGCACCGAAGTTTCAAGTGAAACACTTTGGATTTGACAGATGTGACAGTTAAAGTCGTATTTGGATCATTGTGAAATTCAAACCAAAAATATTCTAGATCAGTGAAATAACGTAATATTTTTAAATATTTTTGCCACTTTACTATAGAAAAATAAGTAAAATAAAATATGGAGCAAAAATATATCAATCTAATAATTTTAACTCCAATATTTTGTATTGTTTACCTCAATGTAAATAGTGCGTTCATGGGCTGTCAAAACTTAAAGTTTACAAGTTTCGTAGTGAAAATGCATGAAATATGTCGAGATTAGGAAGCCGAGAATTGGACGACGAATATCCGACATTTGGAATTTTCGATGTTATGACGAAAAAATGGAAAAAAATAATACATTTTTGGAAATTACTATCTTTTGAGAAACGTGAAATGAAGCACAATTAAATTCTGCATCGAATTATGTATAAAGTGATATTTTTTCATGAAATCAAAAATGTTAAATATTAAATTGAAGTTGAAAATTCAAACAAATAGTCCGACATTTGAGCGAGTGTCCATATAAGTTTTTCCTGATTCAATTTTTTTAGTTTGACGCATTACGACAGCATTGAAGACAAAACGAGAAACGACGACGACTTGAAAATGAATGGTATCAATTTAAAACTTACACGAGCTTTTTCCAATTGATTCAACGCTTGGCGTTCCTTTTCTCGACGAAGCGATTCTTTTTCTTCATCTAGCGATAGATCGGACGAAGGCTGCGAATAATTCGAATCTGCGGAACCCTACAAAAAAATAAATATGTTTTATTATCAGTAATTGTTTACTCATTATATACTTAAAAAAAAGCTTCAATATCTTCATCATGTTCAATCGTTTTTCCCCATGAACGTACAATGTACGTCGTACATATGATATAGATTTTCTTTGTATATTTTATATATATATTTTTTTTATTTTATTTTTTTTTCTTTTTTTTTATGTATATAAACTAATCGAATGAGAAATTGACAAAATTTCCGATTATTGTTTTTAGTTATTGTAATTTCAAGAGCACATGGCGTAAGAGAGATGAAAATGGGGACGAACCTGTGTGAAAAGTTTGTTATAGCCACCTTGATAAGCTGTATAACCGATTCCGAGGTTCATCCGAGATGATTCACGATTATTCCCCGTTAATGATGGGGTTTCCGACGAAGCCCTCTGAACCATTGGCCTATCTGGCCTGTAGTCTTCTTCGTAAGACGATATTTTGTAAATTTTCAAGATAACTAACGTCACAAATTTTGTAATGAATTACAAAATGATTTTTTTCTTGTTTCGGTTGGTCCTATATTCCTCGGGCTTCGGTCACAGTTAACGCCCGTACGGTTTGCTCATTTGCGACCAACAATAAAATCTCATAAAAAAGTTTCACTATTCACGAAACAAGTTCTCTGACACATAACCACAAACAAATTCAATTAGTATCTAAAAACAGAAATACGAGAGAGCAAAAAGTATTGGCAAAATCGATGTAAGAACATGGTTTTCTGAAACAAGCAAATTTACATCATATGAAACCAAGACAGACAGAGAGAGAGAGAGAGAGAGAGAGAGAGAGAGAGAGATGAGAAGTTTAGAAATTCAAAATTAAAGATTAACAACAATATACGTTGATATTGTTCCCATCAAATGTGTTTATAAAAATTCTATTAATACAATAAAAACCAGCTCAATGTGGGCAAATTATTCGAAAAAAAAGACAAACTCATATTATCACATTCATTGACAGAATGGAAAGCACACGTAAACACACTCACACACACGTTTATATGACAATATGAAAATCAGATCATAGATACATTCAAACATGTATTTCACTAAATTTCCAATATTTTATTTCGCTCAGCAACAAATGAACACTTTAGAGTAAAAAAGTGGAGTTTTTTTATACATCATTTTGAGAAAACAAGTTTGACTTGTGCATTTATCTAAGCAAGAAGTGATTGCTTCCAATAAACTTTTGACTGCAATCGTGCGTCAATTCTCAATTTTTTAATATATTATAATAATTACTGAATGAATGATAATTTTCAGATACAACAGATGAGGTTTAAAGAGAAAACAGTTGAGTTTATTGGTGGCAAACGTCAGAGTCGCAAAAACAACAATGTATTTAATTTTTCAAAAATTCTTACATTAATTCATTAATTACAAATTGATATTGTATGTTATTCAGGACTCATGGATGAAAAAAAGCATACTCTCCTATCGGTATATTCAAAAGAAATTTAGTACAAGTAAGCTGAATGTGTTGACTATGTACTATTGTTCCTTACAAAATACACAGTGCTCATCAACCATCATCGACGCCAAAGACAATGGTAAAAGTGAAAGGATATTGAGACGCTCTTTTTATTTGATTTGGCATATGAAAAGAGTTAGTACGTCCGATGAAAGTAGCACGCATATTGGAAGTTGCGTATTACGAAATAGATTCTACAAAGAAATTATTTTAAGTAGTTTAAAACGATGATCCAGCCAAAAGGTGAAAAAGTGAGAAAAATTCGAAAATTGTAAATATTTTGTTTTAAATTGACGTCTTAATTTCATTCTTTGTTCAATTGATTTATCACTCGAACTTAATACTTTTATCACACACACACAATCGAAACATAATTTCATGAGTTCCATGTGGCAGTAAACCGTCGTTGTGAATACCAACTATTGCACCCTGAAGACATGTCAAGCATTTTATCGATGATGAGGTATGTGTTTCGAACCACTTTTTCATATTGCAAAAGGCTGATTAATCATTAAAAAAAATTATGTCTCACAACTTCCAGTAATTTACAGTGAATAACGTTTTTTTTATAAACGTTCACTGCATTTTCATGTTCCGAAGAATATTCGAGCTGTATGCTTTCAACTCTATCTAAATTAAGCCAAAAAGCATATTCGCAGAGAATAGAGTTACAACTATGATTGGAAAATCAATGTTTCTCATTTGAAAAATTCTTTACGCTATGCAATATTTCGCTCTTACACTTCGTACTACCTATTGTATTTAAGATATTATTACGTTTTTGTATCGACATAAAACAACGATTCGAAACAAATTAAGCGTTTATATGCATATATATGAGGTAAGACTAATGTCTAATTGTTTTGTTTTACACTGAATTTTTGCAACGTTGTTCCTTAAAATTCTTGTATTCAAGCTTCCATTAAATTTTTGCAGATATCTTATAACTTTTTGATCGAATTTCGATGAAATGGTTTTGGTTTCAGTTCTTTTTACTTCACTCTAACGCACAATAAAACGTAATCTCTTAACATATGCACGGATCAAAAATATTTTACAAATTTCCTTTCTTCAATTGTATTTAATACAATTTTATTCACAAATAATTAAAACAAAAAATTATTATGCAATAAAAAACTAAAATAATATAAAGTTGAATATATACTTCTAGACGAAAGAAAAAAAATGAATTTTATTTTAATACTGCAATACTTTTAGAGCACTGCTTTGTAATGGATTATTTTTCATTCTCATTTTTCATTCAACCAATAGGAATTTTCATCTGCGGTAGTGTATTATTCATTTTTTGCTGTGGCAATATGTCTAGTAGTATTGGTGCGAGGCGAAGTGGTATATGAGTTGGAAAATATCTATCGTGCTGAATGTCGTTCATTGCGCTATGTGCTATGTTGTTGAGGTGTGCTCCACTAATTCTATCATTACATTTCAATGTCTGCGTACATGGAAGCAGAGAGTTCGTGTGTGTACGTATGTGTGAATGTTATGTATTTTGCTACTATGTTGTTTTATTGTATATGGTATTATGTCAGTGTTTTTCCTGATATAACTCCGAGAGAATATGGAAAATGCGACGACGTCAACACACAACATTTTCAGTCGAGACTGTTGGCAATTCACTTTTCTCGGAATAAAATTGATTTAGATGGCGCCACCTCATACAAAATAACCGTTTATCTCATACAAAAATATTTAGAAATTTCACGAATCTAAATCTAAATACTGCGCTTATATTAGATTATATTTTTTTAGACTAATTTGGGATACAATATGAATACAAACCCTTCGACTGTTGCCAATTCGAAGAAAATGTGGTTTAATTGCTACATGCTTTTGTGTTGAACGATATTTTTTCATATTAACTGCTTCCTAAACAGGTTAAATGTAGTGAAATATCTATGTTTATAGCTGCCTAAATGTAGGTCAAAACTGCAAGGTCTAGACTGCAACTTTTTGAAAAACTGATTCATCTGTGTTGTGTAAACATGCCACGACAAATTCACATATTTCCAAAATCATGGGCACAATTCATTTAGCAATGAAGTAAAGAAACTAAATTTTTTTTTTTCACCAAGGCGAAGGAACGCTGTTCGGTGCAGTTATTATTATTAAATTTTTTTAGTTGCAATCAGTTGAAAATTATACTTAAACACTTTCGGAAAAAAACAATTATTAATTTTAATTACATAAATTCAAATGACACATTAGTAATAAGGTGAAAGAATATTGGGTGGTTTTTAAATAAAACCAACAACATATGACCACTGCGATAATATAGTGACTAGGATAAAAATAAAAATTTGTCGTTTCGTTGATTTTTTCGGATAACACAATATAAATATTTGTAACGATCGTCATGCGAAATTGGCAACACACGGTAGTGTTGTTAATCGCAAAAAAGGCACATACATACACATAAAGACTGATCATACGTATGTATAGTTCGCTCGTTCTCGTCTAAATTTATGGCTCGCATTTGATTTGATAGTATTTTTTATTTTTCGCCCAATTGGCGCTGGTATTGTATTCAGTTTGAGCAATACTTGTTATTTTCAAAAGCTTTTTATGTAATGTGCGTACATAAAATGCTTGCCATCACGTTTTGTTCCTGCTTGTCAATACATTTCAATCACCATTGAAAAGCCTTTGGAAACTCATTTCATTTAGTACCTCTATTTACCGATAGATGGATAAAATTTGCCTTTATTTTGAATGAGCAAAAATGCAAAGATCTTTTTAATTAAAGCAAGAAATATATATAAATTTTAAAAAGTGACATAGTAAATAAAATTAATTGCGTTTGAATTAATTTGCGTTCATCATTGAGTATGACTTAACAATTGTAAAGAGCTGGTATACTACGACAATTCCACAAGAATCGTTCGGATCTATTGTTTATATAAATAACTCAGCTCAGTGAAAACAATATTAGTTATTGTTATTATTATAAACTACAATCATTTCTATTGTTTTCATTTCGTTTCAGCGCCTGACGGTAGCTGACATTTCGAGGGTTTGACAATTTTTTTTATATTTTTAGCGTTTGGCGACAAATGGAGAGTTATTTTGGTACTTTTTATGTTTAAATTTGTCGCCAAATGTTGAAAAGACTAAAATTTATTAATTTTTTTATTAGAAACTTTATGATTAATTTCACCATTTTCGAAATAATTTCACTGAAAATAAGTGATATATTGTTTGTTTTTTGTCTTATGAATAACGCCTATTATTCTCGCTTTGTGCTGCAGTGTTTATTCAAAACAATATTCATTCATAGAAATATATTTTTCGGAATAATTCCGAATGAATTGATTGGAAAAGTGTGGTAGAATACCGGGGCCGGTATTCTAATGCCACTTTCCGATCAATTTGTTCGGAATTATTCCGAAAAATATATTTCTATGAATGAATATTGTTTTGAATAATATTGTAGAACATAACGAGAATAATAGTCGTTATTCATAAGACAAAAAAAAATAAACAATATTCCACTTATTTTGTTCGGAATTATTCCGACACCTCTTTCAACAGTGGAATTATTCCGACAATATATTAAGCGGACTATTCATTTGAAACTAATATTTTTTTGTCTTTTCAACGTTTGACGTCAAATATGGACACCAAAAGTACCAAAATATAACTTTAATAGAGCTCTACATTTGTCGCCAAACATTGAAAATATTAAAAAAATTGTTACACTTTCAAAATATTAGCTACGGTCAGGCACTGAATCGGACTGAAAACAATAGAAGTGATTGTTATAGTGATTGTAGTAATGTGAGTGTTAATATAATTATAACAATAACTTTTATTGTTTTTACTGAGCTGAGTTGTTTATATAAACAAATGATTCCGAACGATTTTTGTGGATTGTTCCAGAATACCGGCCCCGCCCAGGACATTGTGAAAGCTGGAAAAATATGCATTAACGATGGGTTCTTACATTCCCCGACAATTAATCGCATATTGTTCAACATTAGTCTCATTGCTCTATAATGCAAAAACATTATAGTCTTCATTGATGTACTTGCATCATTTCATATTTTCGTTTTTAAATTCATCTTATGGTGTTATAAAATGCATATAAAACGAAAGCCAGGTAAGAAGGTTTTTTCTCTTCGTCTATGTTTTAAACTTGGAACAGGTAAGTGGAAAAATTGTTAGTCTGTAACTTTAGCCGACTAAACATTTTTAGCAAATAAGTTATTCTTCGTTGCCTAAATTTAAAACATAATAGGCAATAGTTTTCTTTGAGTTATTTTACGTATATCGTGGTTCCATTTATGGGAACGCATACTATTTGACTTTTTAAAATATTCTAATTTCAAACAAAATCTTTGCACAATTTGCAACTAAAATCTATTCTAAATTTTATTCCAAATTCTATTAATCGATGGATAATTCAAACACATAAAGAATTGAATGTGACCGATAAAAAGCCTATCTTCGTTATCTAGTTCTGTTATTTGTATGTGGATGAATGGTAATGCTTTTTTAGAACGAGACGTGAAACGAAATCGGTAATCATTCAGATTTTATAATTGTTTTTTTTTTCGTATTTAGATTCGTTCACGAACAGCAATAACAGAAATAGACAATTCGAAATGCGTGTGCTTTGAGAGCGCGACGAATTTTTATTACGAGCGCGCATTAGGTGTCGAGTGCAAAGAGATGTGGAAAAATACTCAAACGATGTTTAATCGTTCTAAGCCTGAATATTCGTTAATTT